GGTGTGCGTCACAGCGTGTTGCCTCTCAGAACTCGTCTTGCCTCTTCTTCCCGCTCACTCCCCATGCAGCGCGAGTCTCTTATAGCGCCTCGTCTTCGTCCTGGGTTGGACGAGTGCGTTCCCTGCTGACCTGCCCTGTCTTACTCTGGTGCTACAGACGGGCCTTGTGCACGCCGTCGATGCCTCGATCACCTTCACACTTGTGTTCTTCGGAGTATTTTCTCCCCCACTATCCTTAACAATCACTTATCTTTCTTCTTTGTTTTCTCTTCATATCCGTTTAAAAACCTTTTCTTCTCCTTTCTTTCTTTCCAACCATATCATTTTCTTCCTTTTGGTTGTTCTACATCTCCTTCTAATTTCCAGTTTCTCCTTCTAATCTATAACTCTTGTACTTTAACAGTATCTTTGTCCATTACTTTTTGTATCGCACGTTCATTATGTTCTCAACTCCTAAATGTAATTGCTCCTACACGTGTCTTCGCATTGATCTCTCGCTTCATTACCGCACTACACTGAACATCGGGTCCCAGCTGCCTATTTCTTTCCCGCTCTCCTGCGCATTCTTCTTTCGCGCGCCGCCCGGCAAACCCCCACCTCGCCTCGTCTTCACCCCGCGCCTCTCCACGCCCCGAGCAAACACGCTCCTGCTCATTGTTGTCTGTTCGCTTTGGTCCGGCGACAGCGTCAAAGAGATGCGCGCTCCTGTGTACCCTGCGCTCCAATTCCCCGCCTCTTCTCGGCCCGCACCGACGCGCCCCCACTGTCCCGCCTCCGTCCCGTCGCCCCCCAGCGCCGCCACCGTCCCGCAGCCGCATGCTACCCGCACGACGCCCCGCCCGCTTTCGGCCTCGAGGCAACTCGCACACGCCCAACCGCGCTGGATTTCTCAAAGATTTCCTCAACCCTTGGGATCTTCCACATATTACTTCACGAAACTGGCAGCAAAAGGACCTCTAGTTTTTAATAAAATACAACTTTTACGGTGCTAGTGTGGAAAAGACGTTCGCGACAAATCACCCGAGAAAAAACTTGCGCACTTTGTAATAAGCCCTCCGGGGACCGGCCTGGTGGCACGATGCCGCGTTAGTAAAGAACTACGGGAGTACTCACATTTGCGGCAAATACTCAGCTCCGGCAAACGGAATCCAAAAATATATTTGGGGATAATTTTTCGTCGTTTTCGGAACAGTAACTTTGTTTATAACTTCACCTCGATTGAAGAATGATTAATTATTGAATAAATAAATGCGAAGTTGGTACAAAAGTTGGATGAAAGCGTTGAACTTCACCCCTGTCATTCAGCCCCGTAAATTGGAACTCTTTCTCCCCTTCGGCGCCGGCTATTACGTCATCTTCGAAGCATGCTCTCTCGCCCGACCCAGCAGCCCCCCACCCCCACCCCCTGCAGCGGCCTCCCCGCGCCCAGGCGGGGGCGAGGCCTTTCCTCGGCAAACGGTCCCCGCGAATCGATTGTGTTCTCGCGACCCCTGCATTTAGCGTTTTGTTTGACGTCGCCCCATAACGCGGCAGCCCTCCACCCCCCCAACCCTTTCCGCCCGCCCGGGGCGACAGCGTAATGTGCGAACTTTTTGTGAACAAAATACATCCTGTGACAGTTCCAACGGGAGGAGGGGAAACGGTGATACGCGCGCCCGCCCGCCCGCCGCGCGCCGACCGTTCTGGGGAAACGCCTCGGCGCAGAACGCCGACTTCCTTTACGGCCCTCGGTCTCCTTAATTATTGTTCGGAGCGAGCGTCCTCCAACCAGGAGACCCTCGATCTGCGCTTCTGGGAAGTTTTACCCTCGGCGGTGTATCTGACGGTCGTCGCACCGTAAAATACTTTTCCTTCTCCCTATTATATGGTTCACTCAAACATTATTCTAAATGGATATTTAACGAAGTTGATGTGGAAACAAAACGAGAAAATGAGATTTTGTTTCGAGAGTTTGAGCAAGGGAAATAAACACTGAATAGTTAGCTGTTTAAAATCTACTCAAACATCAATGCTGCGAAATAAACACGTAAACAGTGACTCAATGGAATTGAAAAGGCAGTATAATATAGTTAATGAAGAAAATTTAGCGATTGAAGTGTATGGCAGTAGATAGTGTAATTTATATTTTTATATTGTACTGTGAAAAATAATATTTCCTTCAAACTACACTTTAAAATTACAATAGTAAAACTTCGTGCTTTAATGAACTAGATCAAAATATAAGATAAGACTACTGCTCGAAAATGTTGAATCATATAAACGCGACATTATCAAGATACTGACCTTGTCATTTCCCAATGCTTCAATCTAAACAATCGCTGAATCTAGGAACATCATAACGAACTTAGAAATGCGAAGAATACTTACTAACAACATGTAACAGCATGGGAGGAACAATCGAAACACGTAATTTTAAAAAGGATATTTTTCTTTTCTACTTCAATGCAAGCCTTCCCAAGAGAACCATTCCCCAACCCTCCCAAAGAGAACAATTTACCATTTGGAACCAGGATGCACATTTGAAACGTCATACCTAAACCAAATTTCCAAGCTTTAGAATGTAACCGATTA